CACATAAAAACAAAACAAACAAAACAAAACACAGACTCTTCAGGTTCAAGAAAGTTTCACTGGAGAATTCTCTTCTCCCCACCCCCCACCGTACACAAAGTCTTCCTCTGTCTACCAGGCTGGAGTGCGGTGGCGCGATCACGACTCACTGCAACCTCGACCTCCCAGGTTCAAGAGATTCTCCTGCCCCAGCCCCGCAAGTGGATAGAATTAGGGGGCACACAACGCCACGCCCCGCTAATGTTTGCATTTTGTAGAGACTAAAAATACAAACATTTCGCTGTGTTTGCTTCACTGCGTTAGCAAGGCTGGTCTTGAACTATTTTATTTTATTTGGTTTTGTTTTGTTTTATTTTATTTTACTGAGACGGAGTCTCCCTCTGTCACCAAGGCTGGAGTGCAATGGCACGATCTCAGCTCACTGCAACCTCTGCCCCACGGGTTCAAGCAATTCTCCTGCCTCAGCCTCCCGAGTAGCTGGGATTACAGGCGCCTGCCACCACGCCCGACTAATTTTTGTATTTTTAGTAGAGATGGGGTTTCACCATCTTGGCCAGGCTGATCTTTAACTTCTGACCTCGTGATTCACCTGCCTCAGCCTCTCAAAGTGCTGGAATTACAGGCAAGAGCTACTGCAACCAGCCTTGAACTCTTGACCTCGTGATCCACTCACCTTGGTCTCCCAAAGTGCTGGGATTACAGGCATGAGCCACAGTAAAGAATACCAAGGTGTCCACTCATACTACTCTTATTTAACTTAGTGCTAGAAGTTTTAGCCAGTACAATGAGGCAAGAAAAGGAAATAAAAGACATAAAGATAAAAGCCAAAAACAGCAAACTGTTCCTCTTGGAACTAAAAATTTAGTTTAGCAAGGTCATAGAGTAAAAGAAAATTCTACAAAAATAAATTATATTTCCAAATAATGGCAATGAACATTTAATCACCACAAACTATTTTAAAATGTAATACCTTTCAATGTAATACCATGTATTTCCAAATAGCTAGAAGAGAGGACTTTGAATATTCCCAATACAAAGAAATGACAAATATCTGAGGCAATGGATTTGCTAATTGCCCAGACTGAGCATTACCTATTGTACATATGTTTAAAAATTTGTCTCTGTATCCCATAAATACGTGCAATTATTATGTCAAGTGAAAATAAGTTTAAAACCACAATATCGTATATAATCCCTGACAAAATAGAAATACTTAGATGTAAATCTGACCAACCCTGAATAAGACTTGTATGCTGAAAATTACAATGTACACAACGCTGGAGAAAGAAGCCAAAGAAAACCCACAGCAATGGAGAGACGTACATTGTTCACACTTTATAAAACTCAACACGGTAAAGACGTCAGTTCTCCCCAAACTGATATGTGGGTTTAATGAAATTCTTATCAAAACCCAAGCAAGATATGTATTGATATAAACAAAATCATTTTAAAATTTATATGCTAAGTCAAAGGAATTAGAATAGTTAAAACATTTATTTAAAATCTAGGGGAACAGACCGTCTACCTGATTTCAAGGCTATTGTATTACATGGTTGTAATCTTGTACGATTGTATCATTACTGCTGTAATTAAAACCACGTGGTACTGGCAAGAAGCTAGACACGGGGATCAACCGAGCAGGACGGAGAAATAAACCCACAGGAATATTCTCAGTGGGTTTTTCACAAAGTTGTATAAGTAGTAATTCTACCAAGGAAAAACAAACGTTTCAGCAAATGATGGAGAAGCAAAAATACGTGACCAAATAAACAAGAAGGCTGGGCACGGTGGCTCACTCCTGTAACCCCAACACTTTGGGAGGGCGAGGTGGAAGGACTGTTTGAACCCAGGAGTCTCAGATGAGCCTCATCTCTACAAAAAAAGAAAGGTAGCTGGGCATTGTGGCATGCACCTACGTTCCCAGGTACTCAGGAGGCTGAGGTGGGAAGATTGCCGAGGACCTGGACGTCTGATCTGCAGTGAGCCAAGATGGTGCCACTGCACTCCAGCCTAGGCGACAGAGCAAGACTCTGTCTCAAAAAATAAAAATAAAAATTTTAAAGAATCTCAACCTAAGTTACATGCGTTATACAAAAATGAACTCAAATTGGATCACAGACTTTTCTTGAGTCCCAACCCTGAGGGTGGAGAGAGAATGATTATAGTGTCTTCCTTAGGGCTTAGAAACTTCCAAGCCTGGGTTTCAAATGGAAAGGCCAAAATAGCTTGAGAGGGCTCCAGGTATTTTGGTGCGAAAGAGTCTCCTGGCTCAAAAGAACTCCTGTGAGTTCTTCCACAGGAAAATCAAAGGCACTTGTGTGTGACCTCCAGTCACCTAAAACACTGAAGGTCTCAAAGAGATAAGAAAACAATCCTCTCCCCTGATGTAAGGCAAATATAAATCTTCCTGGCTTTCCTAGGTGGTTCGAGCTTTTTATTGAGAATAGTCAGGGAACCCCAGGAGCAGCTCTTCCTCCTCAGCAGGTGCCTGGCTCTGGGACCTATTTCTGAACCCTCTAGATCAGTGCTCTCAACTTTAGCATCAGAGTCACTTGAGGGCTTATTCAAACACAGGTGGCTGGGCCCCACCCTCAGCAATTCTGACTCCATAGATCTGCGGTGGGGCCTGGAATTTGGCATTCCCATGGTAGCACCCTAATCCCTCACCCCTTGCTCTCCACTGTGACTAACATGCCATTATGTGCTTAAAGTCTCTAGAGAGGACCAGTGGGTAGAAGGGGGAGAAATAAGTACGAAACGACAAGAAAATACGTGGCATGTCTGCCTTACCTTCCAGCAAAAACAATATATTTTATAACAAACATGTGATTGGCCGGCGGCGGGGGGAGGGGGAGCGCACAGGAAATCCTCAGCTAAGCAGGTTTCACCAGACAATACCCCTCCTGGACGCTGGTTATGGATATTTTCACTGGACAAAAGAATCAAGAAGTAAGGACATCCCAGCCTGATACAGTGTTAGACGGGAGGATGGTGACAGACATCACACTCTGCGGCCTCTCGCAGATGCTTTGATCCAACAGCAAGCGTGCACGCAGAGGGCAGCCGTTTTGAAACACAGCATTGGAAACCCCCAGAAGGTGCCGTCAGTGGACAGGATTTCCTGGAGTTCCCCGGTCGCACAAAGCAGATGTGATGGGATTGACAGAGAAAAAAACGAAGGAAATGTTTTGTTTTGACCTGAGGAAGTGCTCAGCCCACCTGCGACCCACTCACCTTTTACTTCGCATCTATTTTCCATTGTGACAGAAAACCTTTTCCTAGTTTTTCGTATGAGGTTTCCAGGCAATGTTTCATTTTAAAGAGGAAAATTGGCTGAGGAAATACAGGAAAGTGAATCAACTGTATGGAATATCAGCAGGGAGCGTTACTCCGTGTCGGTTTCTGCCTCTCGCATGTCGAAGGCTCTGATTTCCCCGCAGTCTTCGGTCGGCTGCGCGGCGTCCTCCCCTCCATCTCCAGCGGCTGGAGAGCCGGGCAGTCCCTGGCTTAGGACCGGATCGCACCTGCGGCTGCGCTGTCTGCGCAGGTGGAGGAATCAGTGGACAGATGCTTTTCCTCTGTTCTTTGGCCCAGAAAACAAAAACAACGTAAAAAAAAAAAAAAAAGATGCCTGGCGCGGTGGCTCAGGCCTGTAATCCCAGCTACTGGGGAGGCTGAGGCGGGAAAATGGCCTGAATCCCAGAGACTGGGGTTGGGGTGAGCCGAGATTGCGCCGCTGCCCTGCAGCCTGGGCCACACAGCGAGACTCCGTCTCAAGACAGAACAAAACAAACAAAAAAACTATGCCCGCGGGCTCTTTTCTCCCTCCTTCTTCGTCTTTTCATCTCTTTAATCATAGCACAAAATGAGAGCGAATGTGAACCGCCTGTTGATGCTCGCGCTTTTATTTGGGTTCCGGAGACCCCGCTGAGATTCCATTCTTCTTCCCGCTCATTTCTTTCTCACCCTCCTTCTGCGATTGCAATGGCCTTAGGTGATGGGGAGGATGGCAGCACAGAAATCGATGTAAGTGGAGGCGACCCACTGGTTACGTTTTTACTTTCTATATGTGCAGAAATCGGATGTAAGTGGAGACGACCCACTGGTTACGTTTTTACTTTCTATATGTGCAGAAATCGGACAGAAAAAGATAATGACGTGGAAATCTATGTTACTTGAGAATTAGACTTCGGTAGTGAGTTTGCACTATCACGTGGGAGTGCTGGGGCTCAAACCCAGGGCCTCACACACACACAACGCACGCGCTCCACCACTGAACTAAGCTCACTACCCGAGTGGGCTTTTTGTAATAATTTTCTTTCTTTTTATTTTTTAGAGGAAAACAGTATTTATTGTATACGAGTTATACTTGTTAATCAAAGGCACAAACCAAAACCAAGACTTACAGTTGACCATAATATTGACAATTAAGTGATATAAACCAGGTACCAGCTAAATTTAATGAAGATAAGTTCCACTAAATTCCTAAGGAAAATACAGTAATTCGGACACCACTGAATAATTAGAAAGTTTCAAACAAGAGGGAAAATAATGAACATCATAATAAATGTTCCAATTGGGAGGCGAAGAAATGTAAATTGTGTGCTGAAACCTGATGTATCATAGAACATCAATAGTCCCTTTCAGTCTTGGGTGCCTTAGACCCAAGGCCTTAGACTGTTATCACCATCTGGCAACCCTGATGAGGGATGCCATCTAATGACTGACTGAAATTAAATTACACAATGCAACTCTCTGCCTGTCAGCAGAACAGCAAGTGATAAAACATTTTAACTTCTTGGTGCAAATTATACAATCAAACCAGATAACCTTGACTGGAAAGGAGCCAGTTCAGAGAGGTCAATTTTCTATTACACTACATCAATAGCAAAGTCAGAGGAATCAATTTTCCATCTTGTAACACTACATGAAATAGCAAATTCAAAGTGCCTTCCAAAGGCCCCCCAACTAAGAAAAATAACAGTCAAGAGTAAAGCAGTCTTCATTTACAATTTACTAGCTCTTCCAGTGTTTCAGAGGGATACAGGGTTTCAATGATCTAACATGAATGGGACAGAAGGTGGACTTAGAACATAGCGAACACGCATCTTGATTGAATCAGCCTATTGGTGTAGTTTCTTGTTCTACATACATCTTGATTGAATCAGTCTACTGGTGTACTTTTTCGGTCTATCAGTAAGTAGTGTCGTCAGTTCTCCAGCCAGGCAATTTTCTAATTCACAGGGGGGACTCTAAATGTCCTTAAAGGCAGGGAGGAATAGCCCCGCAGATCAACTGGGTTACACTATCTCCTACTGGTTATTTGTTATGGCACGAGAGAGGCAGTAGGTGAGAAAGATTCCAATCAGCTGGAAGCAAGCAACTCCAAACGAAATTCCTGCAACGACTCCCATTTCTGACTCTATAATGGTCATCACCTTTATAAAACAACCTTCATTGTTTACTTTATTTGCATCTCTCTGTGGAGTACAATGTTCAAGTTTACAGCAACTCTTGGGAAATCCTTTTTCTGAGTAATAATTAGTATCTGTCCAATCTCTATAATCGGTGACACCACAACAATGCAACGTATTTTGGATCTTGTCTACTGCATTGCTTCTATAATCTCCTGTAGAGTTATACTGCTTCAAAGCCTTCTCATAATTATTCTTAAAGCTGTTCTTAATCTCATGTCTGAAAACAAATCCTACGATGGCAGCGACCAGTTCGACCAAAAAAATGAGAGTCAGAAACATTGCATACAATTTTAGCATCCATGCAGAAACTCGGCAGGTAGCAAAACAACCAAACGTGCACAAAAGAACAATGACGGTACCAGTACCAATGAGCACGAAGGAGACGTTGGTGGCCTTCTCATTTAAAAGAGAAAAGTAATTCTCCAGGCTCACCTTGCCCCAAATGCCAACTGCTAGAAGGATAACGCCAGTGATCTGCGAAACACTCCTCTCTTATGAAACAGTGAAAAGAAAGACACTATTATGGAAGTGTGCTCTCAAAGGGGCCGGGCAAGCCTTGCTTGCCTCTGTAAAGGTCCAGGGTCACCGTCTGCGTTCTATAGGGGCTTAACGCTCCAGCTCGCCTCCTGCATCGAATTCGAACGCTGGCAAGTCTGGGTCCCAGCTCAGCCTATTGGCTGCCTTAGTCCCGCACTCCGACCCCAGCGCCGGAGAGATGCCTGAGCATTTAGCTCGGGGCCCAGTCCCTCTTCGCCGGCGTTGGGGTCCCAGGCATGATGGCCTCCCAAACCCCACCCCATCCCCCTTTGTAATAATTTTCTAGAGGTAACTTTATTTTTCCGAGACAGTATTATGGAGCGTCTGCAGCTGCTGTGCGTAGAAGACGCCCGGTGCTAACCGGGGAAACAATTCTTCAGAATACTGTCCCGGCTACTGCGGAGGCTGAGGCAGGAGAATCACTTCAACCCGGGAGGCGGAGGTTGCTGTGAGCGCAGATCGCGCCGCTGAACCCCAGTGTGGGCATCAGAGCCAGTCTCCGTCTCAAAAACACACACACAAAAAAACAAAACAAACAAACACTTCCCAGGTTGAAGACTTTAAGCAATTTATGTAATGTCACCGCCTCATGGAAGACTTCAGCGGGGTGTGCACGAAAGGAGTGATACACATATATGCACATTACCTTTATCGGATTTTCAAAAACCAGCAAAAAATTGGAGATCTATACACCCTTCTAGGATTGGCATGCAAGTGCTGTGTAACGCAGAACTGATTAACGAAAAAAAAAGAAACGACCTGCCGAAACCCGGGATCGAACCAGGGACCTTTAGATCTTCAGTCTAACGCTCTCCCAACTGAGCTATTTCGGCTACTCTGAAATGATTCTTTTAGCCATTGCTTCAAAACATAAAACCTGTCATTTGTAGGGTCAGTGTATCTTCCAATGCCTCATTCTGTTGTCTTCAATATTACCCGTCATATACTCCTCCATTCACCCCAAAAATATAGATTCTGCTCCGATTTATGTCTGAAAATAGGACCCACTTTTAAAGACAATGACTGGGTTAGCAAAAGTCGAGGGAAAAAAAGGCAAAGGCAGACTAGGTCAAAGCAGGAAGGCGCCCCCCACAAGGCCACTGCTCAGAAAACTAATGGAATTCAAAAGAATAGTTTCTAGGCTTTTCCTTTTCTCTTCCCTGGGCTCTTTTTCTTTTTTTAATGTCTTGCTTTTCAACGACACAGCAGAAAGGAACAGAGGATTGCTGGTCACGGTAATTTGGTGGCGGGTTTATAGCTTCCGATTAAAGAAATCCTGAGTGAGACGATTCTTCTTCGCTGTTCCTTTCACTCATCTGGTGCTGACACATCCCCCTTGGCTGGTACAGAGACCCAGGGAGTGGAATGGAGGCCGTAACATGTTTATTTTAGTGCGACCATGCAAAATTCATTTTTAAGAGGAGAAAAGCACAGGATGGTGAGAATTGTGAAGAACCGACAAACGTTTATGGGTTTGAACGCTATGTGAGGCAAGGACACGCTGCCACGGACCCACACCCATCTCACTACAGACATAGTGTGAAGATCCTCCTTGAAACACTGGTCATATTTCTGAGGGGTCTTCAAAGGCATAATAAGTTGGCCAGATAGAAAATCCACTGTCTCATATCTCACTGTTTCTTACTCTAAACTATATCCTCTGAAGCTACCAGGAGAAATGTGAGAGAATCATAGACCAAATCACACTGTTTCTGCTTCTAGAACATTTCATCCCATCGGTTTATTCTGAGGTTTCCTCTCCAGCGAACTGCCTGGGGGCACTTTCTCCCACTGCCAACAGGTAAGATGTCCAGATGAAACTTTCCCTGGGGTCTTCAACCTGTTTTTCTGCATTTCTTCCCTTTCACCTGCTTACAAAGTTTTTCAAGCTCCCTCCTCTTTAAGAAGAGATGATGAGCCACAGTCTACGAGAAGATATTTCAATACTTATATTTTACTAAGGATCCGTATCAGGAATATGTTAAGAACTTCTACAAAGCACTAATAAAAAGACTAAAACTTCAATAAGAAAGAGCAAATTAACAAGTACTTAACAAGAAATGGCTACTAATATAAAATATGCTTGACATCATTTGCTACATAGGAAATGCAAATTAAAAACACAACAAGGCTGGGCACGTATACTCCCAGCACCTTGGGAGGCTGAGGTGGATCACCTGAGGTCAGAAGTTCAAGACCAGCCCGGCCAACATGGCGAAACCCTATCTCTGCTAAAAATACAAAAATGTAGATGGTCATGTACCCCTCTAGTCCCAACTACTCAGGAGGCTGAGGCACGAGAATCTTTTGAAATTGAGAGGCAGAGGCTACAGTGAGCCAAGATTGTACCCCGGCACTCTAGCCTGGGCAGCAGATTAAGCCACCATCTAAGAATAAATAAATAAACAAATAAAATGAAATAAAAACCCCACAAAATACTACTACTCTTCATCGGAACCACTTAACCTAAAAAGTGGATAATATCAAGTGTTGCTGAGTACGTGAAGCAACTGGAGCACTCATACATGGCTGATGGGACTGTGAACTGCTACGTCTACGCTGGGAAACTACCTGAAAATATCAACTAAAACTAAATACATATATGTATATATAAACTTATGACCCCTGAACTCCACAATTACATTTATACCCAAGAGAAGTGCGTAAGCATTTCCCTAAAAGGACATGTTCCAGAGGGTTACTGCAACATTAAACATTTCAACCAAAAACTAGGGGTGCTGCCAATGTACCTGGACAGTAGAATGAATTAATAAATCACGATGTACAAGGAATGCTCCAGAGCAATAGAAAATAACTACTACTACTAGCAACAACACATAGAAAATGTGGCCATGCAGGCGGCTCACACCTGTTATCCCAGCACTTTGAGAGGCAGAGGCCAGTGAGGTCAGGAGTTCAAGGCCAGCATGACCAACATGGAGAAACTCTGTCTCTACCAAAAATACAAAATCAGCCAGGTGTGGTGGCCCACGCCTTTAATCCCAGCTGCTTGGGAGGGTGAGGCAGGAGAATCGCTTGAACCTGGAAGGTGGAGGTTGCAGGGAGCTCAGATCATACCACTGTACTTCAATCTGGGTGACAGGAACAAAACTCCATCTCAAAAAAGAAAAGAAAAGGTATCTATTTTTTTTTTTTTTTTTTTAACAAAAATTGAGTGAAAGAATCCATACTCAAATAAGTAAATACTTGCTATGGTTTGAAAGTGTCCCCTCCAAAGCTTAGGTGTTGCAATGTGATAATTATCAAGAGATAGGACCTTTAAGAAGTGATTAAGCCATGAGGGTTTCTTCCTCATGAATAATATCATGTACCCTTATAATAGGACTTCACAAAGGAGGTTCGTCCCTATATTGCCCTCAGTTCTCTGCCACGTGAGGACACAACAAAAAGGCCATCACCAGACTTAATCTTGGACTTCCCAGCCCCCAGAACTGTGAGAAAATTATTTTCTGGGTGGAGGTCAGTGGCTCACGGCTGTAATCACTTCACTTTGGGAGGCCAAGGCAAGCGGATCACCTGAGGCCAGAAGTTCAAGACCTGGCAAACATGGTGAAACCACATCTCTATGAAAAATACAGAAAAATTAGCCAAGCGTCGTAGCCAGGAAGTATCTAGAATACCCATTTTTCTTGTTTTTAAATTTAAGTCTTCACTTATGTAAGATAAAATGCATAAAGCCTATTCAGCTTATGGCTTATTATATATATAATCAAAACTCAAACCAAGATACTGAAGTTTTCAGCACCCAAGAGCTGCCTTTTGCCTCAACCCAATTATTGAATCTCTCTGGCCTCTGTCTCTGTAGATTATTTTTCTTATGTTTTAAATAATATAAATGGAATCATATACTATCATCTTAGTCTATTTTGGGCTGCTACAAAAACATTCAAGACTGGTAATTTGTAATAAACAGAAACTTCTTTTCTTTTCTTTTTTTTTTCTTTTCTGAGACAGAGTTTCACTCTTGTCGCCCAGGCTGGAGTATAAGTGGCGTGATCTCGGCTCATGGCAACCTCCGCCTCCTTGGTTTACGTGATTCTCCTGCCTCAGCTTCCAGAGTAGCTGGGACTACAGGCATGTGCCATCATGCCCAGATAATTTTTTTTTTTAATTTTTAGTAGAGATGGGGTTTCAGCATGTTGGTCAGGATGGTCTCGATCTCTTGATTTTGTGAACCACCCACTTCAACCTCCCAAAGTGCTGGCATTACAGGTGTGAGCCACCAATCCTGGCTTTCTTAGGGTTTTTTAAACTGTGGTCTGCACACTGGTGTATAATAACTGTTTTCAGTCACCTGTGACCATTAGAGATTTTTTTTGACACATGTAGGGCTGAGGGCCCCACAGGGTCGTGGGGTGTCCCTTATGCTGTGCTGAGGCGCAGGATCTGAGAAACAAAAAGGCAGGACACAGAAGTGCAAGGAAAATGCAGCTGGGCTTGGGGAGCCACGCAACCTATAAGCAGAGACAGGCGAGGCCCGAATGTACAGAAGCATCTGTATTTATTGTGTATAGGTTAGGGAGCAGGGTAGTGAGTGAAGTTATCTTTAAGGATAGTGATAGGGTCATAAGCAATAAAACAAAGGGTCCACCCCCATTAGGTCACGTAAGCTAGGAGGTGGACAGTGCACAGCAAGGGGTCCATTCCCATTAGGTCTAGGCAAGGGCCGTGTGCAGTAAGGGGTCCACCCCATTAGATCACCGATGCATGGAGGTGGGCCATGCTCAGTGAAGAGCGTGCAGTGTGCAATACCTCTATCTATGGGTGTGCTACTCCTAAGAAGATCTATAGGATGCTTAAGTCACACAGCAGTGACAGAGCTGTCAGGGTTACCGCCACCTGCTGGCAGCTCCCAATGAATTCTATAGGAGGATCTTTCTGAGCCAGCACAGTAACAAGAGCTGATAAAAGTTCACAGTCACCACGGTGCGATTATCCGGAGGGGTTTTGAGCCCTCAGATGCTCAAGGGATTGCCGATCTGAGGGCAGCCTTCCACAAGACCTGGAGCAAGGTCCCACAACTCCTTTATCAGGAGGAGTGGCTCTTGCCCCAAGCCTGCCAAACAGTGGCTATCTTTACAATACTGAATGCTGCCACCTGGGCCATGGGTTCTTGTCCTGGTATAACTGTTTTTTCCTTAAATCAAGCTCTGCATTGGCCAATATTAAAGTCCAGGAAATACAGAGAACACCACAAAG